GTGTCTGAGGAGGGCGGGGCCGGAATGAGCCAAGTGTCTGAGGAGGGCGGGGCCGGAATGAGCCGCGTGTCTGAGGAGGGCGGGGCCGGATTGAGCCGCGTGTCTGAGGAGGGCGGGGCCGGATTGAGCCGCATGTCTGAGGAGGGCGGGGCTGGAATGAGCGACATGATAGAGACCTGCGAGTTCCTGGAGGCAGGAGCTAAAGGTCCCGAGTCAGCAGCTGGCTGGGAAGAGTACTGGTCTCACCAGGGGGAGGGTCTGCTTTGGTCAGCATGGCTGGAGAAACATCCGGAATATTGCGATGGTCAGCTAATGGTGCCTTGGCACTGCCCAGATCGACAGGAAGCGTGGACGCAGCACTTCAATGAGACATATTACAACTACTGGGACCAGTTTCACTACTGGGCTTCACAGGGGTGGACAGTGGATGAGGCGAGCTGTGAGGGTGTGGAATGCAACACACAGAGGGAGGGGCAGGAAGTGAGGCTGGAGCCCACTTCCTGTTACCCTTCAAATACAAATAGCCAGGTGGTAGAAGCTGAAATTTCAGATCTGATGACACGTCTTGACCTTCAGTCGGAGGGCCCGGGACGGGGAGACGGCGGCCTGGTGGGGGCGCTGTGTTTCTCTGGCGATGAGCCATGCGATGGAGGCGCTCGCAAAGGAGGAGGTTCACGCGGCGAGGGTGCATGTTCTCCCGGTGAGTGTACTGCTGTGGGTCCTGTAGGGCGGGAAAGGCCTCAGCTTCTCCAGGGTTTGCATTCTCCAGTAACATGGAAAGTGGCCCAGGTATGGCTGGGGCACTTTGGGTTTAGGGCCATCACCTCATTGCCCTTGTTGCATAGCTCTCTGCCTTGTCTCCCTCAACCTTCACGACTGATTACTCATCACCCTTCCCTGATTGGCCGGCTTCCATGCTCGGTGTCAGTGTTTTGCTGGGGCATTGGTCTCCTTTCAGGGCTTTCAGGGGAAGGAGTCCATGAACCCAGTAGCGTTAATGTTTAAAGTGACGACTTGTGAGGAGTCGTATCTCTCGGCAGGTATCGCCACGGTATCGCCGCGCTCCGGCTCCGGCCTAACGCTCCGGCTCCGGCCTAACGCTCCGGTTATACTAGTTTTGGTCACTAAGTCGTATCGTGTGCGGGGGTCTGCCGCGTAACTGAGTCTGATTATTATTAACTACCTGCCAGGACCCAGTGGGACCCCCGGTGATGTGGCAAAGGGCCCCTCCCCCATGGAGAGAGGCTCGTCCGGCAGTGACGGAGAAGGGGGCGACCCGCCAGAGAGGCGCCAAGCCAAGCTTAAGCGGAGGCAAGTGCACAAGTGAGGGAGTGTGTTTCACACGAGGGCTGCATGTTTCCGAATGAGTCTGGCGTGTGTTTTATGGGTGGGGTATAATCTGCAGGATTGCGAGCCTGAATCCCACGGCCTGCTCTCCTGCTGTGATGTGTGGGTGTCCTCCTGCAGTCCCGACATGCAGTTAGGTGTGTATGTATGTGTGTATTTGTGTGTGTGTGTGTGTGTGTTTGTGCCCTGCGATGGACTGGCATCCCATCCAGGATAAGCAGTTACCACATGGTTGGACTGAGTATTTGTGAGTTTGGGAAAGGTTTCTTGGACTTGATTATTCACCAGCATCGCATTAGCCTCCTAACAGAAGTGTGTGTGTGTGTGTGTGTGTGTGTGTGTGTGTGTGTGTACACAGCCATGAGCTGGACGCGGAGGAGCTGGCTGTGCTGTCTGTGAACGATGCCTGGGAGAAGCTGGGGTTGAGGTGCGGCCAGAACTCCAGGTGAGGAGACCAACACATGCACATGTGAAGTGGACAGCAGGGGGCGCTCTGTTTCGGTGCTTATTCTGTGCTGGACAGCAGGGGGCGCTCTTTCAGTGCATATTCCAAGCTGTAACAATATGCTGATACAAGTGATTCTTCAGATTCGACAGGGTGCTGAAATTGAAGCGTGGCCACGCCGACCGTCTTCAGCGGAGACGAGGGGCTAAGTCCCGGCCTGCAGGAGGCGGTGTCACGCCTGGCAGCAAGCACGTCTTTTTCACGGAGGACGGTGACATCATCACTCCCGGGGGGGGTAAAACCTTACAGAAAGTAAGGGTCAGCTTTCCGGAATGGGCCCCCAGTGGAACTGGGGTTAAGAGAAATGAAGGATGCGGCTGGTGCTGCTGTTAGACCTTTGAACGGCTACCTGACCTGAGTTCCTAAGGGTGTAATTGAAAGTCACGTTCCTCGTCTTACCTTCAGGTCCAAAACTTCCTGGCACAGGTTCGGGGCAAGACAGACCTCAGCCCGGCAGCCACAGAAGTTTCCGGTGGGCCTGCCTCTGAAGAGCGTGCCCCTGAGGAAGAGGAGGCAGGCTCAAAGGAGGAAGGGCATGATGAGGTTCCCTGCAGCTCAGAACCCTGGGCCCTACCAGAGGCACAAGCCCAGAGCCAGGACCTCCTGCTTCATAAAGATGAGGAGGCCCAGTCCAGGAGGAAGCTGCTTTCTTTGGATGTGCCAGATTTTCTGCTCCCCGACCCACCTGAGGAAAGTTCTGAGGGTCGGTATTAACACCTCTCAGCCACTAGGGGGTGGTGCTAAGGGTTGCTTCACATATGCCCCCTGGTGGAACTTAGGGCTGGTGTAGATCCACCTAAAGCCTTTGGTGAGCTGGGTCTGTATGTTCCAGCAGGGCCCACCAAGCCCCCCAGGAAGAAGAAAAACAAGAAGAAGAAAGTGGAGGTTCCCCCTGAGATTGCAGCTGACCCGGATCTGGCCAAGTACTGGGTCCAGCGGTACCGCCTCTTCTCTAGGTTTGACGAAGGCATCCAGCTGGATCCCGGTGAGTGAACTGCGCCCCCCCCCTCACAGTCACTCCCTCTGTCTGCCTCTCTCCCGGGTCACAGCCCTGCATCGTCTTAGGTCAGGAGCTGTAGGTGGGGAGGCCTATCATCAGCGTTGCCCCCCCCCGGGATGTTCTTCCTGCCCGTGTTGCGAATCCTAAGTCCCCCCCCAGTCCGTTCCCTATTCCCTTTGAAGAGTGGGATCAGAGGCTGGAGGAACAGCTTACTTATGAGAGTCGACGCCGAGTGCGGTTTGATCTGTGTGGGGATCATCCGGTGGCGGGCTTCAGCGTGCCTCATACCCCCCAGCTGCATGTTCTTCTGATTGGACCAGGGCACTGGGGTGGGGGATGGGGGCACAGTTTGAATCAGGGTTAGGAGTGGTGGAGTATTTCAGCTGTACAGCTCTGTTCGGCCAGAAGAGGGCGCTCTTGGGTTAACATTTGACAAGATGAGAGGGAACACTGCTTCTGAAATGAGTCAATGATTCAGCTCAGTCTTGAAAGCTTGTGCTGCTTTTCCTGACCATTTGCAATTAATATAATTAATGCTAGTTACCAATTAATAAGCATTCTCTTGCCACTACTAAATGGAAGGTTGTGGCCCGTTGGTCTGTCATAATGGGCTGACTGGGGCCAGTCGTGGTCGAAGGTTGCTTTGTGCAACGTAATGGAATTAAATTGCTGCCCCCTGGTGGTGGAAATAGGTCAAAGGGCTGTGTTTCAGAGAATTGCATCTGCAGGATGGCTTATCTGATGAACACTTAACTGTCAGAATCTATTAATAAATTTGGGTTGGCGCAGAAGAACATAAATGCAATCTTAATTTGGCATTTAATGGACAACCTCCCTGCCAGAGAGTCCTCATATTTGCTCCCTGGGAGGGAGCAAAAATGTGGGCTGTCTGTGGGTCCCCAGGGACACAGTAATAGACTATTGACTGAGTTCCTGACGCCGGTGGATGGGGAGGTCTCTCACGTCACTCACAACGCGCCCCCGTCTCCCACAGAGGGCTGGTTTTCCGTTACCCCTGAGAAGATCGCCCGGCACATCGCCGATCGGGTACGGCATCACTCCGGCCCCCTCCTGGTCATCGATGCCTTCTGCGGGGTTGGAGGGAACGCCATCCAGTTTGCCCTGACTGGGAATCGAGGTATGGCTGCCCTTTCCAGGCCCGTGAGGGGTTTTGTTGAAAGCCTAAGGACTTTCAGAAGAGCCGTCCCAGTCTTACACGCTCAGTTCCCCACATGCTACCATGTTGGTTAAAGTCCCATTACGGCGACATTATAATGTTTGATGTGACTGTTGCCTAGTTACTGGTTATGGTCACTGGCTGTTTTTGTCACTCGGGACGTGACGCTTTCCTGCAGGTCAGCTTATTTTTATGGGCTCGCTCTCTGTTCTGTCCGCTCCCCAGTACTGGCCATCGACATCGACCCACTGCGCCTGGGCCTCGCCCGGAACAATGCACAGGTCTACGGCGTTGCGGACCGCATAGACTTCCTCCAGGGTGACTTCCTGCAGCTAGCGCCCCGTCTGCGGGGGGATGCTGTGTTCCTCAGCCCACCCTGGGGGGGGCCTGACTACCTGGGGGCAGAAGTCTTCGACATCAGGACCATGATGTCCCCAGATGGATATCCTTCACGCACGCGTTCGGGTCCCGGATGGCCATGCCCTTGCTAGGTTCCCCCCTGGTTCATTTCACAGTTTGGAGGCAATAAGCTAGCATTTGAATATCGCAGGTATTTTGCAGGTGTTAAATAGCGGTGTTAGCCTGTCCAGCAGTGTACGCTGAGTTGTTATTAATTTTCATCCTCATGGGAGCAGGTAAAGCAGCAGAATGTGCTGCTCTGAATCTCCCCACATGCGTGGAGCCCTGTCAGGGTTGAGATCCCCACCGAGGCCCAGACGCTGAGATGTCGCTGAAGCCTGCTGTCGCCGGCTAGTCGGGTGTCTCGACACCCCCCTTTCATATTTTCCTTAACCATCTTTACCTTTGAAATTTTCCGTTTATCCAGGATGATCTCGGAAAACGTTGTGTACTTTCTCCCCCGGAATGCTGACATGGACCAGGTAAGGTTAGCTGTTGTTGCTTGGTTTTTTTTGTTTTTAAGTATGTTTTAACATACCTCGGTGGCTCAGTGGGTAATATGGTCACCTCACCTCTGTGGGTCAAAATGCTTTTTCGTACCTGAGTGCTAAGAGTTCAGTTAACAAACGGGTTGCATGCTTAGCGCTGTAGCGGCCTTAGAAATGCTCTCTCCCGCTTCTCGATTTGTAGACGTTGGTAACGTGGTAGCTGTGCTCGATCTGAGCTTCTGTTAATGCTTTTTGAATCTGTCTCTCCGCTTATGATCGGCTTGTCTTCTTCTCGGGGGCGCAGGGGGCTGGTTTCAGACCGAGCGGCTGCCGCAGTTTTCAGGAAATGCTAATTCAAGCGACGCGAAAGGGTTGACAGGAAGCCTTTTAATCTTTGTGCGCTAACCGAGCAGACAGCAGTGAGGGGAGCTTCGAGCTGACCTGCGCTGACCCGCGCTAACAAGGGCAGCTAGTAGAACTGCTTTCAGCAGCACAGGTCCAAATCCAAGCTGTCTCTGTTGCAGAATCCATCCAGGTTCTGGGCACCTTCTCATTTCCCTTTACAGTATTAGGTATCCCATCCTTGCTCTGGGTGCTGTCAGTTTCTGTAATAAATACCACCTTATTATCCCCTGGCTTTTGTGAAATTGCACATCGACCGTATTATAAAACTGATTCACTGAAGATTTCACCACCTATTTCTTTGTGTATGGAGAACAGTTCATACACTTTACCTTTATGTGTATTTACAGCTGCCCCCGCAGGATTTTATTTAGGAGACCTGCCACTTGGGTTTTCTCCACTTGTCCCCCCCCCCCCCCAAACTGAATTGGTGTCTCTTAAAGTACATTCACTGTTCCTTTGATGTAGAATGTCAATTACACATATGTCACCATGACAACTCACAAAGGGGAAGGTGAATCTCGCTGAGTGAGCTAAGAACATGTCTGTCCAGGGCAGAAATGTCACATTCTGCCAGCCTACCTGTGTATAGGTCATACAAACATACTACCTCATCCATGTGCATGTCAATATGGGTGGCTACTGCTGAGTAAAGCAGTCTGAGAGACTGTATTATACCATTATTATTTTTTATTTTATTATTTTAGCTGGTTATGTTTGTTAGTAATTCTCTCCTAAAATTCTCTTGCCAGAAACCTGTATTTAGTTGACTATAAACATGCAGTTTTACCTTTGTGACTTTCCCGAGTCTATTACCATATTCTTCCTTAAAAGCAAGTAGAACTCGTTGCTGCCACCAGCTGGTCGCGGAAGTGAATTGCCACAAGTACAATAGGAATGGCGGGTCGGATGACGACCGATCAGGGATGAGTTTCCCGAGGTTCTAAGAAGGCTTCGGGAAACTCATCCCAGACTGAGACGCCAGTCTGCAGTGTTTACTAATAAGCGAAGCTCCAGCCCATTTACCTGTGGGGTCACTCATATGTGTGTTGGACATATGGAGACGTCCCTCTATTTCAGATTCCTATGCAATACGAAAGCTGCTCGTATTTGATTTTGGCTTTGGGAGCCCGTGTTAAAGATCGCCGCCTGTAATTAAAATATTCCGCCTCACGGGTGGCTGCTTTGAGTGCGGTCGCGTCCCCTGTGGAGCAGAACTTTTTTGCAGTGGAAATAGAGCTGAATGTTCTGTTCCTCTTTGTCATTTTCGGAATCACTAGGCATGTCGCTAAAAAAAATAGTATTTTGACTGATACTGTAGCGCAGGCAGATGGAGGGGCTGTATCCCATTGTTGCACGTCATGGTATCCCGCTTTCGTGCAGTGCTTTGTCGTTTTCGGGATTGGACCCGAGCTATCAGTTTGTGCTCCTTTCTGCTGTTTCACGTACTTTATATTCGCTGTCCTTCCACTCAGCACTGTTTATCACACCATGCAATCAGCCTGCCCATGCTATCATGTAACGGTCCTGGGCGCCCCACCGTTTTACGCATATCCCTGGTGTAACCTGAGTTGTCCCGCAGACCCCTGCATTTTGTCTAGGAAATCTCACAGCCTTTGATGTGGGTTGACACTACAGGAGGAGGGTCACAGCATATTTGGTTGTGTTCGTGCCTGCGGTCGCTGTCCGGTGCAAACCGCGTGTCCACTTTCTGAAGGCAGTGACTTTACAATAATGCTGCCATCTTTGGTTTTCTGACGTGGGATTCCAGATAAGTCTGCACGCTCATTTACACGCATGTAACAGTTTTATTGCCTTGCAAATAGCCTGTAGGGTTCCTGATGTAGCTAGTTTTAGGTGTATAATGGAATGATATTGATTTGCCGTGAATGATATAGATTTGCTGAAAGCGTGTGTCACGGCTGTCGTGAAATGCGCCCATTCCCCCGTCTGCTGATGGCGCTTGATATCTTACTGACCAATGGAAAGATGTTGTATGGAGTTTTTTTTATTTAACTAGTATTTATGTTTGTAGTAGTTAACATTTGCATT